CCTCCTCCTCCTCCTCCTCCTCCTCCTCCTCCTCCTCATCCTCCTCCTCCTCCTCCTCATCCTCATCCTCCTCATCCTCATCATTCACTTCTTCCACAACCGTCGTCGTCGCTATCGCCACCGTTATCACCATCGTCACGTGCACCGTTACCACCACCGACATCCATCACTATCGTCACCGACCCTCGTCAATCGGTGGTCCAGCTTCCCGCGAGGAAGAGACTCTGCGTCGGTGGTGCTGAGCATGCAGCCGTATTTGGCGGCGCGAACGCGAACGAGCACCGCCGCTCTGCCCATTCGAATCCGCGGTGGAGCGGTGCCCGAGGAGCGTTTGGCATCCCCGCCCCGAGGCACCGACTAATGGACACTGGCGCCGAGGGACCCACCGGCTGAGCCAAGTCCGAGCCATGCCGTCGACCGAGCCGCTCTCGTTCATCCTGCTTCTGGCGTTGGCAATGCCGCAGTCCGCGAGCAGCTACGACGTCCTCTTGGCGACCATGGGGGGCACGAGGTCACACACCGTCCCGTTCGTCGCCCTTGGAGCGGCCCTCGCCGAACGCGGACACAACGTTACCCTCGCGAGTGGCTTCCCCGGGCCCGCGGCCAACGGCGGACTCCGCGAGCTGGTGCCGCCGAAGCTCGAGGTGCGCAGCCCTAGCGACTACTTTATATCTCGCCAATTTTTATTGCTTACACTATCCTCCGATAATTCTCCCTCCTTATCTTATGCACATTGCGAGCACAGAACCGTATAATCTTTTGATAACTCGGGGATCGATCGGTCGAGCCCCATTACCTATAGTTGCCATGACTATCGTCGCTAAGATAATCGGTCCAAGGGCCACTTCGACGTGCATATCTTCAAAGATCCGGGGATCCAAAATTTTCGGCTGATCGTGCTCTCTGCACTTGCTGCTTATTAATCATTGCCTCGTTTTAGCCGGCCTTTCGCTCGAAGCGTTCAGAGCCCGTTTTTCGTGGAAAAGTAAGCCAAGCCGTGAGTGTTTTCTTCATTGTGAGCAAGATTTTCAATCACGTTCGAGGGACTGCAAGTCGAGAAATGGTGAAATTTTCAAAGCGATTAGCGCTAATACCGTTGATTGTACATTATCTTCATTAACGTCTCATACCCATATAAATGACAGATAAACATTAATAATAATAATAATAATAATAATAATGATGATGATGATGATGATGATAATGATAATAATAATAATAATAATAATAATAATAATAATAATAATAACAATAACTATAATAGTAATAGTAATAGTAAAAATTTTTATATTATATTATATCATATTTAAGAATAGTAATAGTAAAAGTATTATTATTATAATACTTACGTGTCGACTGGTGCTTCGAAATTTTTTTCTTTCTTTTAATTATCGAATATTAACAAATAACCAGCACGGGTACAATGTTGGAGATTTCGATGATGTAGCTCTAAGTATAGCCCGCTCGGTCTTAAAATTTATTACAAATTTTCGAATATAGTTGTAGAATTTTATACGATAGTTTAAAGTTTTAAAACTTTTGTATACTATTTAGGATTTATTATAGAGTAGAATTAGCCACTTAAGCATGGCAAGTTCTATTTATTATTAGAACATATTTATTATACCGATGAAAACGAAATTCATATAATGATAATAAATTTGGGATGAAATTTTATGGAAAACTTTTTGATTGGAATGATCTCATAACCCTTTTAATTATAAAAGATACTAAGCATTCTATCAATAAAAATAATATCGTAATAGAATTTTAATATCTACATTAACCACGATAGACGCTAATTTATTACTATTAACAAAAAATTTAATAGGTTCTTGGAATTTTGTTCATTCAAACCGAAACTATTATGTATAAGAACGTATTTAAACATGTAATAAATATTTTATGAATTTTACTTCATACAATAGCAATTAGTATCTTTCAGAATAAAGCAAATGCGGTCTTATTTAAAAATAATATCACGAGGTTCGCATGAATGAGCGGTTTGTAACGCATTTAAATCCTTTGAAATTTGTAAATTGAAAATTGTACGAAAAATTTGTCGAGCAAAAAGTGAAATAAAAAAAAAAAGCAGATGTAGCAGAAGAGAAAAAAAATCGAGAAAGAAAGAAGGAAGGAAAAACGTCTCTCACCGTTCTCTAAATTGTTCGTGTAAATAAGGCTCTTTTAAGCGCATCCACCCTTCCTCCATTCAAATAAATCAATTCGCACACGTGCTATGCACAAAATGTACAGTGATATTGTAATCGAAAAAAAAAACTGAAAAAAACTCATCTACGTAGAGATCATTAAGTATGTAATGTCGTGTCGAATATATCTTATCATTATGATTTCAGACGTACATTGGGAACTACACGTCCGAATGGGATTTAGTGGGATCGAGGTTCCGAAACGAGTTACCCCTTTCACCATGGGATGCGATGAGATACGGCTGGGAGTCCTGCGAGGCTCTACTCAGAGACAATTTTTCCTTAACGGAGATACAAAGACCCGAGGGCAATCCACGAGCACACTGGGACATCGTCGTCATCGACGGCGCATTCCCCGAGTGTCTCCTCGGCATCTTGCACGATCAAGATGTGCCGACGATAATGCTAAACACAGTAAGTGCCTCGACTCTAACCAATCGACATTAAGTACAACAATCTTAAGTACAACAAGCCGGACGCTCATCGAGCGCAAATTCAACTGTTTCCAGGTAGCTTTATACAGCGGCTCGATCGTCAGACAAGGGAATCCATCCCCCTGGGCGATTCGACCGTATTTCGGAAAAGCCTTAACCCAAGATATGAGCTTTGTTCAGAGAATCTTTAATGTCGCCTACCTCATGACGCTCGAGGTTATGTATTGGATTATGATTACGGGATTCATTCAACCCACCTTGCGCAAGTACTTAGGTAAGCAAGAGCAATTATACATTATTCACCAAGTTTCACTGGTTGACTGGTCGTAGCAAAAAAAAAAAAAAAAAAAAAAATCATTGGTATTCCGGGGGGCATAATGCTTTACCAATACCCAGATACGTAAACTCTTATCCCTCCGCTCTTGACACATCGTGTTCGTTCGCGATACGTACTACCTATATTTATTCATTCATTTCATCTTTCTCCACATACCTCGCTCAAATGGAATTCGGAATCGATGATCCTCGATCGCCGCGTGCCCTCGAGGGCCGATCTACCGACGAGATTCAAGGCCTATGATATTGTTTGTTCCAGGTGATGAGGTGCCCGACGTGCGAGACTTGGTCGCCGAGGTGCCACTGACACTGCAGAACAATCACTACTCGGTATCCGATTCCGTGCCTTATTTAGCAAATGTCGTAAACGTAGCGTGCATACATTGCAGACCGGCAATGAAGCTCAGTCCTGAAATGGAAACGTTCCTCAATCGGGGTAAGACAAACGTCGAATATCGAGATGTCGATTAAGATTATTCCGCGCCCGAGAATTCTCGGTTTGGATGCTCCGCCAACCGTAGTCGAAAAATGGAATCGGAGCGCAGTCGAAACGTTTAACGTACGGCTACGTTGAAGGCAATTTAATGATTTTCAGGTTTTATCTTCGTGTCTATGGGATCGTCGGTGAAGGCCTCGGGCATGCCAGAGGCCCTACGTAACAGCTTCGTAGCCGTCTTCTCGACGCTGCCCTACAACGTCGTGTGGAAGTGGGAGGGTGGCAACGTCGGGGACCTTCCATCCAACGTTAGGACCGCGGCCTGGTGGCCTCAGCAGGAGCTCCTCGGACATCCGAAGCTACGCGCCTTTGTATCTCACGGCGGTCTTCTGTCCCTCCACGAGGCCGCTTATCACGGTTCGCCGACCCTCGTGCTGCCGGTCTTTTGCGACCATGACGGCAACGCCGCCCAAGCCGGTACGAACTTAGGAACGATTTGCATGATTTTATCTATTAGTCCATATGCAGTCTTGGCGTAACCCTTTGAGAGAATTGCATAATTGCCATAAGTAATCCGATATTTCCCCGCTCAAGTATGCATTTTATTGTGCCTGCACAATTATCAAAGTAATTATCCAAGCAAATTTATTGTCAAAGTATTACGCTTTTATTTTCAGTTTTCGTTCTCGTTCAAAGTGTGTCTCGATATTAATTCGAACAGAGATTAAATCGATATCGTTTAGTTTAGTGAGATGTAAACAAGCGTTAAATTATTTTTAAAAATAGTATATATATATATATATATATATATATATATATATACATATATGCAAAGTGTCATTTCTCTAAGAGTGATGAAAATCGACGAAAAAGGAAAAAACGTTTGAAATGGAAAGTGTCGGGTTACAAAAAAAAAAAAAAAAAAAAAAAAAAAAAAGAAGTATCGATAAATTAGCCAATAACGGTAAATATGTAATATTGTATTTTCAACATAAAAATTTCTCTTTAAAATTTCCAAAAATAGTCAAAACTATGACCTAATCATTATAAGCAGTAAATTCCACGCACAACGTAATCAAATCCAGCACATCTGACATATGCCTATGTACGGAACATGGAGCTGCCATACAATTAAGACAATTTTATAGCACGGCAGTCCGTCTAGATATACCATTAGCTGTGGCAAAGCACTGAAATTCTTGTCTACTTCATCGGTTAAAACAGCAATTGTCATTAAACATTTTATAACCAGCTTTACCCGCGCAAAAATTAGCCTTACCTGTAAAGTATAAGCAATTAGACGTAATATTAAGCTAAAAAATTACATTTAGTAAATGCAAAAAAATTATATAAAACTTTTATGGGTGGTTCTTTTAGTCTTGAAAGCTCAAGATGAATTCATTTAATTTATCAATCAATTAAAATTTTCCATTAAAATTATTAGTTAATATCAATTTTCAATTTTTATTTGTTCAAGCAAGAGATTATAATCGCTAGTTTCATTTAACTTCTTCTATACACATCGAAATACTTTTATAATATTTAAATGAACAATTGTCATACCCATTATAAATTCTAATTTTCGCTCATTCATTGTTATAGTTTATTTATCTTGTACTATCTGTTGACTTCTTACAAATTACAAATAATGTTTACAATATAGTTATCAAAATTTACAAATATCCAACAACATTAGTAATTTTTTTATTTTTATTTTTGTATTAATATTAAATAATTTGTTATTTCTATTTGTGCATATGTGTGCTTTTTCTTTCATAACTATTTTATGAGGGAATTCCAATAGTGTTGCGTTATCTCACTTTGTTTCGTCAATTGTACCAAAAGCATTTCCATATTGAACTTAAAGCATAGTGCATTCGAGAAAGTAGTTTTATTTACATTGAAATATAAATTGAGCGAAAGAGACGGAATTTAATTTAATTTAGCATTAAATTTTTCTGTTCTTAAAATTATCTTTCTTAATTAATATAAATTTAAGGTGACGAAATGCCCTTGGGGCATGCTAGGTCATTTCAGAATTTGGTATGCAAGTAATTGTTGATCATTTATCACATTTTGCACATTGTTATAAAAATTCGTCATGTTTATTGCTACATCATAAAATAACTAATGTAAATGGTATACTTTATTGTCAAATTAAACAAGTAGTCGATTCGTTCAAACTCCTCAAATTATTATCTCAATTTTTCTTCACTAGCTACTTTTATATCTTAGGACTATCAATCATTAATACAATGCCCTTTAGTTGGATTATTCATTGCTTCATTTAAATACTATAAACTATTTTAGAGAAAAAAATTGAATTAAAAATACTGATGTAACCTTGAAGTATTTCGAATTTTTTTTAAAAATTTTATATGTATAATATATATAATTAAATATAAATGCTTATCAAATTAGTCACTTATATAAAGTAATTCTAATTATGACGTCTTTTTATAAGATTAAAAATTTTGTCTTTGTATAATAATTTTAGAATTTTAAAAGCAGGGCATAATATTCTGTTCAATGTTGTATTTTGTTAATGCTATCAATTACAGATGAATCGACACATTTCTTTCTTTCTCGTTATAAATTTCTATTATTAATTTATTATTCATGAATTTTTAAATAATTTCGTTGTATCTTTCTTATTGAGAATTATTTTGTGCTGTATATAATTTCTGATCGAAATACGTAGTCTCAAATACAATATGTCAATTGTTCGGAAAACTCATAGCCTTTTTCCCCTATAATTTACGGGAAGAATTCTATACTTTTTATGAAAATCTGATTTCACTTTAATTTTCTATATATAAAGTAATCTCTATTAATATAATATGATTGTTACTTTTTTGTATATAAATTATTTGTAGCCCAGTCAAATTTTGATAATAATTATCAAAATTATCGCATTACTATATTTAAGAATTAACAATGGATGCGAAGTATAACGTGACACGACTAATTATGTAACTATATTTTATAAAATTATAAACTTTACCTTGTTAATATAGTCACATTAAAAACATGACATATTAATGATTCAAATTACAACATAGTTTTAGCATTGTCTCTCTGTTAGTTTATTTATACAAAAAACAAACCACTAATTACTACATTTGTAAGCATTATCGAGAAAACTAAAATTAATTTTTTAAATTAAATGATATAAATAAATAGAATTTAATGTGACTTTGTGATGAAGTTTTGTATTGAAATTAGAAAGTTAGTCAAACTGTTGGATTTTCACGAGCCATAAACGAATTTAAATATATTTACGTTACGTTATATCAAACCGCTTTCATCTTCATTACCACACGATTATTTTATTTTGATATGCTGACTGATTAATTAATATCTTTTTTTGCAATGTTTATTTCATTTATGAAATTAGCCGTACCTATTTCTTTTAAATTGCACACATACAATAAAAATGCATCGAATTATTCACGCTGGAATTAATTTAAACAATGACATTAATCAATTACATTCTAATACTATTTGAGATTTAAAATTGAATAAAATGTACTGCAGATACGTTATAAATTCGTTTTTTATCAAACGAGAATTCCGAACAGAAATATTCTATTCCATTTGTAGTAAAACATTAATGTATCGGCCGACTACACATCGACCGCAGTTTTCCAAGAAAGTTACCGAATTATTTTACGATTTTGTATTAGAGAATTAAATTCAATCTCCGTGTAACTAATCTTTTTAACTAATCTTCGCAACTATTAATATCTTTGTTGACTACTTTGTGCAAGTGAAAATATTATTTTACTTTTATAAAAATATTGCATTTGAGATATTAAATCAATGCCATTCTGTATATAAATATGCGTACATGTGTAAAGAAATAGTATTCCAAGTGAACAGAGATTGGGAAGATTTTAGTAAATTAAAAACTTTGATATTCAAAAATAAAAGTTATTTCAAATAAAAGAATATACATTATCATAAAAATTATTTTTTAGTTTTCGATAGTTATGCTGAATACATTACGCAAAATTCCCAGACTTACTTAATTTGGTTAAAATCTATATTACTTTTATTTGAATGCAAATTATAAATATACATCGAACTATAGACGAAAAATATTTTTAATATAAATATGCATCGTATATTTAAATATAAAAATAGTAGACAAATACTTTTTCTTGCTTACTTTATGTTACATTAACCCTCCTCGGATATACTAAAGAATAAATTAATAGTTTCATTTTCATTATTACCACATCGATATTTCGTGTTAATAACCATAACATAAATGGGTGTTTTACAATTTATGTGTAATTTTTTTTATGCATAAACGTAAGTTAATACAATTTTAGTTATTTTAATTTAATTTTAATTTAATTTTATCTAAAACACGTTAAATGTTAGATTATAGGATGGAAGCAAGGATGTAATTGAATTTTTGCATAATTTATCATTCATTTGCAAAGTATTATATTTCGTTTATTTGATTGAATTTTTATTAAAATGAGTTATGTTGGATGTTAATTTTAACATTTCAAAATATATTTGAAAATTAGAGAATAAATTTTATATCTTATAAATTTGTATATTGTTATGTGACATATATATATACAAGACATGGAGTAATGTAATGTACAATTAATTTAACGAGGGCATTAATAAGTACATTAGCTAATAATATTCAATTTAGTAGTTCTAATTAAAATGTAAGAGAAATGAAAATTTGGATAATACGGGACATTTTACATTTCCTTATTAATTATGTGTTAATATTTCAAGATTATTTAAATGCACATTATCGTACGATATAAACCTGAAGCGTCGTTGAAATTTCTTCGAAATTAGTTCAACATTCACGTCACGTAATAGCTAATTAATTAAAAATGTTCCACTAATTATTCTTGACAGGGAAATTAAAAATAAAAGTAATCAGCTCTTCCGTTATTTGCATCATTCACGCTTATCTGAGAAAATCCAGCTCTTTCGCATCGTATAATTTTATAACTGCATTTTTACATGTTCGCCGTGTCTTTCAAATTCATATGCATATATGTATATTAATATTTCAGAAAATTTGGGATATGCCCTAGTTATGGACTTGACAAGCTTAACAATAACAGAACTGCGCGAGAACATATTGAAAGTGGCCGCTAGTGGAAACAATCCTTTCCGAGAAGCGGCAAGAAGGAGAAGCACAATAATGAAAGATGTTCCAATAGATACGAAGAATTTAGCTGTTTGGTGGGTCGAACACGTGGCCCGTCATAAAGGAGCCGAGCATCTTAAAAGTATCACTAGGTGATTTCTTTAATTATCGATTTTTTGTTTCTCAAATCCGTTCAATATTTGTGAATGGACACTCGGACACTCGCGCGGATGTGCACGAGAGGTTTCGTTAAGAGCACCATTGTAAATATTGTAGAGACAAATTTTTTTATGCCACCAGCTTCCATATTTGGTAGTCATATGCGTTTAATTAAATATGTGTGTTTGCGAGCGAGCGAGCGAGCGTGTCCGTATGTGTTCTGAATAATGAAAGGGACGTATGACAATTATTGGTAGGCAAAAGAAAAAATAAAACAAAAAAAACAAGAAGAAGATTAAATTAATATGATGTGGTTCGGTTGAATTTTCTCCTCACATCCCAATAGCCTACATTAATATATATATATTAAAATATATGCAAATTTATAATTTATAATTTATTTTATTCCGTTTGCAGGCACATGAGTATTTGGCACTATTATTCCCTAGATGTCACTGTATTTTACGTGCTACTCGTCGTTACCCTAATATACGGTGTTAGAAAATTATTGCACAGAGCTGGCCGGAAGAAACTCAAAGAAAAATTCCAATAACTAATGGTGATATCACATTGTAAATGCCATCAAGTGATAAACTTATTAATTTGTGTTTGTATAAAGGAATTTTTGTTATTGATCTTATTTGAATAAATACTGTCTTAATAATGTAAGTTATTGGTAATGTAGACGGCTGTTCGATTAGCCTTAATTTGGATATAAAAGAAAAGGAAGAAAAATAAATGAAAAAAGAAAAGAAAAAGGAGAAAAGATAAAGAAAAGATTAATTAATTAAATTACGTACAATAAGTTATTTTTTATCGAACTAGATGAGAAAATTAAGCAAAAAGGTACAACAGGCATTTTCAGAGAATTACGCAGTTACGATGAACGGTGGTAGATCGATTGTCGATACAATAGATTTCTGTACCCAATAATATCCGATATTCGATCAGTCGGATAATCATACGAGGACATTCGATATTGTTTATCTATGGAGACTGGCGAATGTATAGCTGTCGCTAATGCGTCAGAGTATGTTATATTTATTCCATAAAAACTATTACCGACGACGAATGGCAAACGTTAATTATTCATATTATGCGAACGTTATGTTACAATTATATTATGAGAATTCAATCTCAATCTAAAAGTTTCATCATCAATCTTTTGTTATTCAGCTTCGGCTCATTAAATGTTATTCATTGACCCGCAAATCATGCGCTTTGGAAGTATAACTTCCAATGAAATACAATAGATGTCGACACAAAGATTTCAAATAATCCCCAAACATCGTAGTTGCAAAAAATGATTTTCACATCATAACAATTATACATCGAGTTATTTATTAAAGAATTATTTAAAATTTTTTTTTATATTTTAATGAATAAATGCTAAGAGTCGATTCAAGAGTATTTTTCAATAATATTAATATTTCAAACGCATATGAAGTGACATGTTGGCTAGTAAAACTTTATGTAACATCTCAACTAACAAGGATTCGTAATATTTCACCGAAAAACTGAAAAATCGCAATAATTGGCGAGCAAGCTTTCTCATTCATATTCATATAATTCTCTGGACTTGGTCAAATTTTCGATTTGGTCGGTAATACATGGCGAATGAATGGTGAAACGCCACAGTACCGCCACAGTACCGCCACAGTACCGCCACAGTACCGCCACAGTCACACCAAAGCATCATTATCACAAGTTGATAAAATAAACGTCACGTGGAACAGGAATTTCGCAACCGTATCGAATAAACGAACATAAACATAGTTTATATTAACATATAGTTTATGCGATTAAAACTTTTAAGTAAAAAATTACCTTAAATAAAAGCATTGTCCGCAAAATTCTCACGAATGAAGGAATTAATGTAAGCACGGCTATTTGCAAATTAGTTTGCGATCGTTAACGAATGCACATTTAACGGCCGAGTACATCTAGCCAGTCAATCTAATAATGCGGTGAACCAACAACGTATCATAATAAATGCTAATGATGCGTATACCGCAATATTCACAATTCTTAACCACTTTAAACGCAATGAATTGCTTTTTCAAAAAATTCATGTTACTTATACATACACACGGTATGGGCATTCATGCAAAACCATTCATGAACATCAAGAACAGTACAAGAGATACTCTTATGGACAAATGGAATAGCGCGTGGGAGATGCTGTAGCAACGGGATAAAAAGTAAATACGATTATTCATTAATCACGGATGATTCGTATAATTATGTGCCATTGTGAAATTGCTTGAGTTAAAGTGCTTTATTGCGCTGAGCATCTCTTTCCACAACATCTTACCAGGATTTTCTCTCGGGCTATACGCATTGTCGTCCCCTTCCTTTCGACACATCACAACCAATGATAAAAATATTTACACGATAAGTGAAGAATCAAAGGCGACGTATAAGTATCAGAACAATCTCATTGTATCATCGTGATTGGAAAGCGCATTTTACCTAGCCTCTTGCATTCCTCCGACTTCTCGTTTTTATTTCCGATGCTCCGTACGACATCACAGAGAAACGACGCAGTACCAGCATCATGTTCAGTATTATTTCCGAGCAGGCGCCGCGTCCAGTCGTATGCGAGACGAGGGAAAAAGCGAGCACCTACATTTTTTTCCAGCTCGAAAAATTAATAAAATGACCGGCTAACAAGCCCCGGCTCCGTCGCGGAATGAAAAATCTTAATTAAGTCCGGATAAATAGGAGGTCGGCACACGCAGCCCAGGCCGGAAAAGCTAAATCGGCTTTTTCAGACGGCGCGCGTGTCTCTTGCGCAAGTTTTCTAATTGTCAGTCGGGGCTTGCTAGCAACGCGGCACGTGGTCCCTCACTCGCGCCATTCCGGTTTTCCACCTTTAACGAACTCGGAAAAAAAACAGCCCCCGCGCGCGCGCGCGCACTCTGGAATTACGATTTCCGGTGGCGTCTCTTTCTTCAGTCGATTGCAAGAACGCGCTTGCGATACCGAGGCGCACATCGGAATACCTTGCTTTATTATGTAATAACGTTGCTCAGGTTGCATGAACACGGCGCGGTAAGGAAAAGAGAGAAAAAACACGTGTGCGCGAGTCGCGAGGCACTCGATAAGCTCTTAATTAGTCGAGCGGTGGGTCGAAAATCGCTGATGAAACTCAGTCGAGCGCTCGCTCTCTCGCTCGCACGATAAGAGCGAGTAACTTAACAATGACTCGGACCTACGGGCGCTTATGTAAAGCCCGCGGGAAAAATCGAGAGCAACGGACAACGTTGCAATTAACGTTGCGCGTCTCGCGGCCACGAGAAAATAAGATAAGCAGCAGCGGCCCGCGCGAACGAAGGGGAGGAGCGGACGCGGATGCATAAAGAAGCGAGTCCGCGCAGGTAGGGACAGGTTCGTCGAGGAAAAAGTTCAATTTGTCTCGGGTGCTACACCTATCGTCTGCCGAGATCTGCATCCGAGGTACGGACGGGTACTGGTATGCGGCCGCCGCGCCAACAAGATCTGGCCTTGGTCGTGCTTTCCGTACTGGCCGTAACACAATATCCCTCGGCCGGCGTATCGATCCCGAAAAACCTATGCGTTCTACGCTGGATGCTTATCTCTCTCTCTCTCTCTCTCTCTCTCTCTCTCTCTCTCACTCGCCCGCGCGAGATCATCACGCCTACTTTATCAGAGTATTATTACTCGATTCGTTTTCGATCCCGTCGCACTTTTAATTGTCTCGTCTCGAGTCGTGATTTAGCATCGAGACGTCACTGTGCCCACCATGGGTTTATCGAACTTCTTAGAGCTTGTGCTTTCTCGCTGTTATTGAGATTTCGTAGGCTCGAGCGAGCGATAACATTAGCCTTTCTCGTTACCTCGACGCACAACTTGTACAGCGCAAAGTCGAATATACCGATCGGTCATGTGGTGCTCTTATAATTCGTCGTTCTCCGTCGCCGGTTTGATGCTGCGATCATTGCGCATTAAGCCTCTTGGAGGCTAATCGCGACGATTAATCATCCAAGGCTTAGCATCTCGAGATACTTAGATCCTTCATCTTGTTAGGCTAGAGCATCGTTAGCCCTTAAATGCGAAAGTTATACATCGCTTCGACAAGACTAATTGAATAGTTGATTTTGCGATTTATAGGTATAATAAATATCGTAGTCATACAATGATTACTATGTGATAGAAGTAAAACAATGAGTACGTACAAGGAACCGAAAAAAAAAAATAGCATATTATAGCATATTACTATAATTATTTACTTGTATTTCTTTATTATGATTATAATTTATGTGTCGTAAGAGGCACTATAATTAAACCCTTTCATTATAGTTTTTCTGGGACTGGAAAAATGTGCAATTTAACGAGGCAGGGAAAAAATTGAATAACTCATTGAACTACAACACCGCAGAAATTGTTTTCTATCTTGAATAAAGAATGAACGACAATTCTGTTTTAGATAGTCGCAATTTCTTTTTCGTCGCCGCTTTTTTTCTAAAACCAGCGTACATCATAGTTTTGCAGTTACGTGAATGGAATAATTCAACGTAAAATAATTGCCATTGTACAATCCTTATCGAATGAAACTTGAGAACTTTAAATATTAATATTGCGCATATTTGAATGACAAATCTCTGTAAGCGAGATAAATGTTTAAAAAGAAAACTTTTGCATTTTTATCGCATTTTAATGCATTTTTGACGATTATAATGACACTAAATAATAAGGAGAATGGATTATTATTTATCGATTGTAAGAGCTTTTATGTGTAGTATTAATGTACATTAATAGCAACAAACTTGCACATTTGTTTTGCATTTTTATTGACAGTCGTAGTTGCGTATTAATTGTAGTCGCGCATCTTTAGCTCACAAGTTACATCGTCAACCCCCCTCCCACTCCCGCAATTACTCAAACAACTAAACTAAAGTACCACATTACTTTATCGTAATGCATACAGATTATTGTTGTTATTATGATTATTATTATTAAGGATGAGTTACGAACTCGTATGTACGAAGGACTATGCAACACGAGTATAAAGCTTGATTTTTGATATTTATCGAAAAATTAGCAATAAGGTTATATGAATTTCAAGACCTTGGGCAGTGGATTGTACAGCTTGACCTTAAAAAAAAAAAAAATTTCATGTTTATATTATATTTAACAATAAATCTCAAAGCTATAATCAATGATGTCATGATAAAAGAATCGCGTTGAAGTGTGCGCTGTATTATTGAAGGATAAATCGCTTTCATGTTCCCTTAAGCATGATTCCGAATGTGCCCTTCACCTCGTGGGCACGCAATTATTTTCAATCAGTTGTTAGCATACGAGAAAATATCATTGTTACGAATAATTTCATGCATAATGGCGTTTTAAAAAGTAAATAAAAAATGTAATGGGACGAAGACCTCGATGAAACTCCGGGGCGCAGCGTGTTCAACAACGTTTAACTTAAATCGCTTAACGACGGATGATTAGAATGGGACGGCCGAGGAAAGGAACAGCGTTATAACTGTATTTTAATGATCAAAATGGAAAAAGTGATATTACGCTAACGATCTAGTCGAATACACGCTGTTCATGATGTGAAGGTAAAGTTTCCGCGGAGATAATGAATAAACGGAACGCCTCTCGGAATTAGAGGAAGCATTTCGCGCTTTGTCTTTGTAACGAAAATCCTTATGTTTCATTTGATATTTATTATTGTTGTTGTTTAGCTTTTTTGTTTTTGGCGCTTGGAGTTGTCAGGTCGGAGGAGTCATATTAGGAAACCTGAAGATATTGTGCAGCGAGCGCGTAAGGCCCCTTTCTATATGTTGTTTCTATAAAACGACGCATGTCAGTTGTGACGCGTGATTTCTTTAATTCTTTATTAATGATAATAATATGCATACACAAGTACATTGAGTATGCGCCGTTACGTCATATATATATATATATATATATATATATATATATATAAAAGTAAATGAAATCGTTGCACTTGGGGTGTCAAGGGACCTTTTTAGAAAAGTAATCGATGGTCGAACGCCGTGACCGAATGAAATGCAGGAAATCAACAAACCGACAATCTTTTTTTGATCTGTCTTTTTGTCTTTTTGAATGTCATGAGGTCAGTTCGAATTTCATGGACACCGTTTAAAAGATCTTTTGTGAATAAATGAGGGCCTCATTACGAATAAGAAAAGGTCGTGAAAGACAATCGACAAGGTCCGAAATCACAGCGAGATTCTCAACAATGCTGCTTAATAAACCGATGAGGCTAAACAAAGAAAAAAAGTTGCTCGAAACACGTATGCATATGAGTGCGAGTCTATGAAGGTACCAGAAAAGGAATCATTTTACGATGGAAAGAATGGTCCGGATTATTCAAATATATAATAAACGCGAATAAACGAGCTCGACGGTGAGTTTATACACTGTAGATGGCTATCTCCAAGCAAGCGACGATAAAAAAAAAAAAAAAAAAAAAACAAAAAAACAAAAAAATAAATAAAATAAAAACAAAAAACATTCAAGGTGAGCAAGAGATACTTGAATGGGCGTATGCATGAATGAGGTCCCTGGATCCTCTCCTCCTTTCTCACTGTCTCTTTCTTCCTTTCTTTCCACCTTCCTCGTCCATACTACAGAGGCAAAGTGCACGTGTGCCTACAAGACGTGCTGGCATCGAGTAAACCATTTCATGTATGTTATTATACGTTCATGTAGATATGAGCATGAGATGGGGGATAGGTAGTGTACAAAAATTTTTTTTACTTGGACTGGAAAGATTTTCAAATGAATCGTAGTACTGAACCGGCGACTCTCTTACGCTACATGTAATACTACGTATTATATTATAAGACGACTATTTATTATAAGCGCTTAAACTTTTATCAGCGCCATAAAGGAGCTTGAAAATTATCTTTTGTATTGTGTTTTGGAAGGAAAATTTATGTTTAAATGGGACATTTTGTAACAAAATAGAAAACAAATAAACAAAAAAAAAAAAAATGATAGAGGTAATATAAAGGGAAAAGAAAAAAAAAAAAAAGGAAGAATGAAAATTACTTACCTAAATATGGACACGAGAGGAAATCTTACCTTTGCTCGCTTGGAGTTTACACAAAAAGTCCAATGTAAAGGAAACTGATTGAAAATCTTTCTCTCCCTCTCCCCCTTATTATTGCACAGTCATACATCCAAACTTTAATATCAGCATCATTTATTGGGATTCGAGATATTTTCAAGAAATGAAACATTTAATCAACGATTACTGAACTTTTAATATTAGTGATGTTAAGCTCATTACAAACAACTATTGACCATAAGTTTAAATTTGTTCCAAGATCTTTTTTATTTCGAAAGTTGCTTTGATTACAATTTTATTATCTCATCGATGACTATTTCTATACATAAAAAATATAAACGCTCATATTTAAGAACAATAGCTTGGATGTACTAATATATCATGAGATTTATTTTCAATTAAATTTAACAAAGTACAAATAAAGACTAGATCTCGTTAAACAAATTAATATTAGTCTTTAAAGTATTCCCGCTGATAAACTACGAAAACATCTTACGTATATCACTTTTAAATTGCACTCGTTCGTTTATTATGTTGTATCTACGCAAATGCATTAACGAGTGTCCGTTTTAACTCATTTGAGAAGAAATATAAAAGATTCTGTTCGAACTACACTGCACTTACATATCATTTTTGTAAATGTACGTAATTTGATATCGCAATTTGTTTTATATATAATATATATATATATATATATATATATATATACAGAAAATCGCTCGCGTTATTAAAACGCAGGCGCTCTTTGGTGAACACACTCTTTTCAGATCGTATGCGAACAATTTCGTATCAACAATGGAGTTACTTAATCATCTACAGTCAATCCGCAGTCTCTCATCTTTGGCACAAAGCTACACATTAAATAGGTACATTACGTAATATCAAATTAAAATATACACTTGGCATTTTCGTATATGAAGTCTATTATCGTAAAATGCACTCGTATTATTACATTTATAAAATATCGCTCATATTCTAATCACTTTGAAATGTAATTTACAATTTGCACATATTTACAAACCTTGTATCCTGGGTCGACGACGTTCGCTCCTATTGAAATCTGGCAGCATTTATTCAGGCTAAGCGCACAATTTTTATTGTCCCTTGTTTATTATTAATTGCATTATTTGGGCATTTATTAAGTCGTGAACAAATGTAATAATAGCCTGTCAACGAAGCAATTTTGGGGATGTAAGTACAAGAAGGAAAGAAAAATCATAACACAGGCAGACATGTATAAATGCGATTTCTCTTTTTCTCTTTTCTTCAATTATTTGAGCTGCTGTTTATCACTTATAACATAAACAATTAAATCATTTACTTACACATCACAAAATTATTATTCAACACTTGTCACTTGAGCGTTATTAAATTACTTTTAAGGCTTGTGTCACTGAACAAAACCATTAATTAAGCGAAAGACTTGGCGGCGAATTCTCGATCAAACTTTGTTGGAGTTCGACATTATTGGGCGGCAGTGGCGATACGGGCAAACTCTCGGCATCTTGTTCGACATCTTTTAAACTCGCGATTGGCTCACCCGAATCCGTTAACTCGCGCACATTTCCCGGCAAATAGTCCTTCCAGCTTCTGAATAAGTATCTAGTGAACTTACGCAGCTGTCGAAATTTGCAATAAGTCGCGCCCTCCGCCGACTCCAACTGCTGTGTTTGTATTAAGAATCCCTTCTCCTTAAACGTTTGTTCCAGCTTTTCCCTCTGAATGCTTTTCCTCGTTTTTCGCTTTCTCCGGCTATCGTCTTGGACGCTACATGGCCGCGGACAAGTTGCTTGAGGGATCCTTTCGGCAGCTGCCGTTAGGAACGCACCGGCCGACGATCCCCCAGCTTGATTTGCTGGTTGCTGCAGAGCTTCTCTTGGAAAAAATTCGTAACCTCGCATACTTTTATCACCGGTTCCGCTATAATATCGGAAATTGCCACCGGAATCTACCGACAGACTCTTCTTTTCTTGCAAGGTCGGCTTGGCGCCGCCCGTGAATTTAAATTTACAAATGCTAACTTCCGTAGCTGGATTATTATTATTTTCCGTAGGCATGGGCGGTATAAATATTGCTGACCTCTTTCTCTTTATTGGCTGGCTTGATGACGACGACGACGAGCTTTGATTGTTCGCATTCCTCTTCGGTCTAGGTGATGGGGTAGAAGCCATTTGCGTTTCTATCTGCGAAGTTGCTTCGATAGATGGTGCGACTGGTGGTTGAACTTCTATAGGCTGCGCTGCTTTCGCATTATCCAAGATAGAGTAGATGGATTTTGGAACGACGCTGCGCTGTTCCTTTGACAGTTGTTCCGAGCCTGGCGACACCTTCTCTTGGGCTAACTTTTGATAGTACAAGAATTGCGACTGCAAAGCTACTGGATGAATGAATACTCCTGCATTAGGCCAATACAAAAAGCCAGGATTGTCTTTAGATTTTGAATCGTTGTTGTTATTTACTAAATCATTGCTGTTCCCGTTAGTTTCATTACTATCGTTATTACAATTGTGCATTTGATGATTGTTATTATTTGTAAGTGACCGGCTGTCCGTATCGATGCACTTGGTATCGATATTGTTCACGTCATTATTGGCTTTTATGTGATGTCCGGATTCGCAGAAATTCTGACAAGTCGCGCCTAAGTATTCGATATCTTCCGTATCGCTCGAACCTTCACTTTTCGAGTGGCAAGATCCGAAGGCGCTACTATGTCTCTCACCGAGCCTTATCTTCAAAAGATTCAAATCACGAATACATAAATTCAGTGGCTCCTCCTGTTCCTTCACATTATCAACTGAAATTTCAAGAGCGCGTCGTTCCTGGGTCAAACGCTTCTCTAACAAACTGCTGATTCTATTCTGAATATCGGTACGCTGAAATGATGTTGGCAGTTGCGCATCTTTTAAATCGAGTTTCTCTCGTAACGAGGTTAGCTTGGACTTATCCTCGAGTCCAGGGGTACCGGGTAATATGGTGCCATAATTTTTATAAATCAAGTGACAAATGTCTGCTTTCTTAGGCTTCCGACCACGGCGAGGCTTGCTATTGTCGAGTGTAATTTCCCCCATATATGGCAAATCCGAATACTTCATTGGCGGTCTCGGACTCGGTTGAGCAGGGCCATTCTGACGATGTGTGTGATGACTGACGTGGCTCGGTTGTTGTTGAGGTTGTTGTTGCGACGGTTGCTGTTGCTGTTGCTGTTGCTGTTGCTGTTGCTGTTGCTGTTGCTGTTGCTGTTGCTGTTGCTGTTGCTGTTGCTGTTGCTGTTGCTGTTGCTGTTGCTGTTGCTGTTGCTGTTGCTGTTGCTGTTGCTGTTGCTGTTGCTGTTGCTGTTGCTGTTGCTGTTGCTGTTGCTGTTGCTGTTGCTGTTGCTGTTGCTGTTGCTGTTGCTGTTGCTGTTGCTGTTGCTGTTGCTGTTGCTGTTGCTGTTGCTGTTGCTGTTGGTGGTGGTGGTGGTGGTGGTGGTGGTGGTGGTGGTTAAATGTGGAGTGCGGCAAATGAATGGATTGCGTCGATTGGGTCGAGGTGATAACGGATCTTCGAGAAGCCGTAGTTTGGCAGAGATTGGCGCCCGACATCGGAGGGGCTTGAAGCGGATTCGAATATATCTCGTTCTGCATCGCGGTTAGTCGCTGCAGCCAACTCTGAACGTCGACCATAGGACTCGGGGTCGGGGTGAAGGCTGGCATCGGAGTCATCGGAGCTGGACTCGCGATACGTGATTCAGCGGCAACGGTTGCCGAGGAATTTAAGGCAGCCTCTTGAGCTAAAGCTGCCTCGTAATGATCAAGATACTCTGGTGGAAGTGCTTGGTGATGAAACTTAAGCTTCCAACGGGACTTCCTGCGGCCACGGCTATAATACAACAATACAAACAAACGATCTTTTTTTCTTTGGCTTTCAACATTAACACAATTTTATAGCGTCAACTGTAGCTGTTTCGGTCATTTTTAATCAAATTTATTAATCTCTATAAAGTTCAAGTATTTCGATAAAGCATGTGTTGAATTTTCATTAAGAATTTCACCAACTACATGTTATGAAACATAAATTCCATTTTTTTTTTCGTTTCTTTTTTTTGTTTTTTTTTTTGTTTTTTTTTTGTTTTGTTTAATAATAGATAAAGAGGTTATTTTGCACCAGTATATATAAAGCGGAAGGCGCAAATAAGACTAAAAGAAAATAAATACTAACAACCATACAAAGCTTAATTTCTTTACACGACTATCACAGGATTTTAATGTAAATAAACGTGACGTTTAAAGTGAGATATTGCATACTTTTAAAATTAGTTTTATTAAGATGAAAATTCGCAGTAAAAATCGATTATATATATATATATATATATATATATATATATATGAAATACCGATAATAAGCCATTATTTTAATATTACCTGGCCGGCTTTTTGCAACCATTCTGTTGTTGAGGAGCTTGAACATTGAGGCTGTCAAACTCGGAACTGGATTGATCTATAGCACGTTTGTGATTGAGGCTCCCATCGGGAACGGACTGTGCGTCTTCGATTTCCGTCTGTGGACTATCAAAATCTTCATTATTAATCACAGTCCGTGATTATAACTCGTCTCGCTCATTTTGATTTTGTAATCCCGAATTGTCGAATGAAAATTTAGAAGAAAATATAAATGACAAAGGCCCCTCGCATTTCGCAAGCGGCTTAAAAATTACGCGAAAAGACACGAGCGCATATATATATATTCACCTAAGTGTGTTTGGCTTTCGGCCCCGATCGTCCTCCTCTTGAGGCTCTTGCTTCACTGCCATGTTGCTGAAGGACGGGTGCGGATATTGAATATGCTGTGTAAATCGGAGTGGTTGTTGAAAAGGTGTTGTTGTACGATCGGACACGGAACCATCTAACCCCGTTGATTGTGCACGGGGCACGACTTCCTCAGTTTGCATAATGCCCCCTGGAATTGCCATGAAAAAGTTGGCTATGTTATTTGCTCGTCTAATTCGTTTAGTAAGCCGAACGTTATAATGAATTAATTTATTCGTTTTAAGATAGAAGTAGCTTCGAGCGAGGGTTATAGAGAAGATATCGAACGCCCGATAGTGAACAACATGGAATGCGATTATCCACTATATAGTGAATTTTTGTATTTTAATTTTTAATGTACATTCTTATAAGCTGAGCTATGACTAACAAATTTACCCTCCAGCTACAACAACGGCAAACGACACTTTATTTTACGATGATTTACGTGAGCTGGTATACTTCATCACATCTGTGTCGACGAATACCTAATGAAACATTCGGAATAAGTGTGTGAAAGAACTGTCCATATATGGTTACGAACTACGCCTATTCTTTCTCCGTGTCTGATGCATTCATTTCGAGATATTATTAGTCATTTTGTTTTTTTAAATTATTGAAATACTATTTCAGCTGTTTTAGATGTTTTTCAGATCATTTCTTAATTGTTGGACTACTAAATGAGCAAAATATTCTACAATAGGAAATGCATTATTACACAGATAAATAAAAGTACTAATAAAATGATGACCTTATTTTTCAAAATTCATACGTTCAGTTATATTTACCGTTAAGGAGCAAATATTACCTTTCGAATATATCAATATAATCAATAAATATTAAATCTAATAATTATTCATTATAGGTCATTGCCATTGTAGATTTTTTTTTTTTTTTTTTATAAATTGCATTGACAATTACTTCGGGTAAGTCTCAAATAATACAAATAATACGAGATATTATTTCAAAATACTAAATTTATTGTCTCGAAAAATAATTAATTTGTAATATATTTGATTTTTCTGCATTAATCGATACGCGTAATATAAAGATAGTACAAATGATTAGATGAATGAAAAAAAAAGTAAAGAAAAATAGAGAAATGTTATTTATATAATGTAAAGTTTTATAAAAATGTACTTAAATTAAAATTCATCCATTGGAATTCCAAAAACTTTTTCATCTATTTTAACAGCATTATCATTCTATAATACAATCTTCGAAATAAAAACATCGATTAATAATAATAATAATAATAATATATGTGTAAAAATCTTTAAAATACCAAGATATTCTAAAAATAAATTTAATATTCCATCACATTAGTCATTAATAAGTATCGAAATGCCGAACTAGAATGAATTCCTATCCATTTACTGCTCGACGATACCATTGTGACCATCGAAACTTAATCTTAATTCATCGACTCGAAAAATTAAAATTTTTTCTTGATATTGAAAATTTCACTAATAAATGAAATTCATTAATATTTTCTATAATTTAGTTTTAATATAAAATTATAGAATTTTATTACATCGACAGTAAAAATGTATAATGATTTATGTTGTTTTGCTATGTACTTAAGTAAATAAATAAACATTATAATTTTATTGATAAACGATTTAATCAATATCTATATTGTTATCAGCAAATAGTCTTATCTAATAACATATAATAATTATAATTTCATAAGCGTTTTAAACAACGACTTTGTATTATTTTAATACCTGGTTAGAGCACGCCGTTAAATAAGATTATTATACACTAAGTGAAATTATTTTGTTATTTTAATTTCTTTAAAAGACAATATTATAATAATTATGTTTAAAAATTTCCGTTGTACATCGTGAAATGTTTATCATACATTCTTACGTAAAAGATTCTAAAGAAGTTAAAATGTTATATTCAGCTGTTGCTACATTTGAAATTGTATAGTGACTGCAGTTTTCTTGTCTATATTTTCTATTAGGAGGAGCTGATGTAGCGACGGAGAGGGAATTAAAAAAAATTACAGATATTGTAACAATATATCGTGAATATTGATGTTTAAATAATTATAAGATGGATAATATAATGGATAAAATAAGGAAATTTAAAAAGTAGTGTGAATTTTCGAAAAATGATTGATAACACAAAGCGTTAAAATCTCAGAAATCTAGTGAAAATTTCATAAAATTCTTTGCTACAAATGAAAAGTAATAAATCCTATTCTGTACAGTTATACATTATACGCGCGTAAATGGTATAGTTAATTTAAGCTTGTTATTGACTATTTAATAAATAATAATCAAGTATCCAATGATTTATAAGCTTGAAGCATATTGAAAATTCATAATTAACGTATTTTAGATTTAATAATAGATTTATTAAATATTACTCTTCTCGCATTAAATACAATTTCTATTAAGTATCAAGTTTTTTTCCGTTTTACAATTAAAATCTCTTGTCAAAATTGTATATAGTAAATTATCTATATTATAAAGTAAAATTAAACTATACGTACAGTCTGGGTTTATAATATATATATTTTAGAGGTATTAATTAAATTTATTTTTTATTTTTTATCAAAGTGAAGATTAATAATTATTATTCAATTAAATTTTTTTTATGATTAAGCATTTTGGAATTTTTTCTGATATTAGCAACTGTTTTTCAATTAATAATTCAATAATTTAAAATAAATGATAAACTATTCGAGTTGTATAAGGAAGAATATTTTCTTATTCGTATCGCAATGTTCATTTTCTTTAAATTAGTTTTAGGAACTATAGTAAATATAGTAAATACTTAAAACGTTTGTATGTTATTGTCAAATACAAACTTTTTTTATATATATTAAATGTTTTATTTATAATAATTTAAAAATTTTAATATTCCAAACTTTCGCATTCTCTTTACGGTAAAATTAAATAGAATAGAAAAAATTTGAGCATACAATGGAACGTTTTTAGGGTTATGTTAAATTTTTATTATTAATTTTAAACACAAATAATAAAAACTGTTAGAATATAAATTTAAAATTAGTAACTCGAACAATGACTGGTTGTTAAGAAACTTTTTGTCAAAAGCCAAGATAATCTTATTTAGAAATTTCAGCAAATATAAATTAACTAATATGGTAATATGTTAAATTTATTTTTAGAATATCCCGATTTTTTTTATAAAATTCATATATCTATTAATACTCGTAAAAATGTTTTCCATAAAAGATATGATAATCACGTTATTATATCAATTGTAATACTTATTCTTTTATATTATGAAATTTCATATTTCGAAGTATCACTCTCTCTGTCGCTCTCTGTGTATATATATATATATATATATAGACGTATATATGTGTGCATCTGCGATTGCGCGCACATGCGCGTGTGTGAGTAGCTTAGGGTGGTGTAAAACATAAATTTTTTTTTATTTCATCTTATAGACCAAACATTCCTTTCAAATCTTTTTCATTACTCAAATTATTAGAGAAAGTAGCTCTAATAAAGGTGTGCTCTTTATGTCATTAGTAAATAAAAATTTTCAAAACAAAACTTATATTTTAACAGCTCTTGCAACATTATTTTACGTACATTAAGTGAGTAATTGGCCATCTTATGCCGGAATAATAAATAACAATGTAATTGGCAATAGTTAGATAAGATGAGGCATATATTAATTTGAAAACTGATATAAGCTTTTTCAAATGAAAAGTCCATAGAATGAAACGCTGAATTGCGCACAATAATGAGCATTTAAATTTTGAATAATTGTTGTAAAATCTCGCAATGCAAAATTTATTTATACATATTTGTTCGCATATTAAAAAAAGAACACGAGGATGCATAACTGAGTATGGGGATTGGGACTTACTACTACTGTATTTTTCCTGATTTTCATATCGTTCGTCTATCGAATTTCCAAGCATTAAAAGAAAAAAAAAAAAAAAAAAAAATATATAAAAAAAGAAAGTAAAAGAGAAAAAAAATAGAAAATGTATTCTTCTCACAAATAACAAAAACATCGCGTCATTTTATTATCAGAATGGACTACAATAACGGCAATAACGACATTAGCAACGCGTTAAGTAATCAAGCGGAGACGTAATATATCGGAGCATTCATTCAGTCGATCGGCAATTAATACTTCGCGGTATCGAGGAGAGCACGTTCATCGTGATGTAGACAATTTTGAAACTTCAGCTCATCATGATATAGATAATCGAGCTATTTGTGGCGCGCGCGAGATACCACTTTATCCCGAGTTGGTTCGCTCGAAAGTTGTTCGCACGGGGCGTAACTCGCGCTCTCCGATATGGACGTTCCTCTAGGAAATGGCGAATACCAAGCGAATCCTAAGGGTCCACTGCGAGCCGCTTCCGCCACGCTTTTTCGCCGGCGTTGCGTGGGCGGCGGCTCGGGACCTCGAACTCGGCTGAACTCGACCCGTGGGCCCGTCCGCACCCGGACGCGCATCGATGCCGGTGTGCGCGTAACTACCATTTATTTTTTGGCTATTCTCGGAGGAGTTGGCGTGGGGCCACTATTTTCGGTTCTCTCTCAAATTTCTCACTCCGTATTTGGGATTACGCCACCCGGCGAATTGGTCGCCGTTGGCGGCATCAAAAATAACGTCCGTCACTACAATGAGCGCTAGCTCCTCCCTATCCCCTCAGTGCCCCACGTCCACATCTTTAGCCCCATCGTGTCCTCAGGCGGTCATTATATTTTGCGAGCTATCGAATTTAAGCACGTGTGCGAAAAAAATCAAAGGACTGCCGCGAAGGAAGCGCGCGCTTGATCGCGGCGATTGATCGACCAAGTTTTAGGGTGCCTAATGGAGCTGTCAGGCAGGTGGGTCGCGAGTCCCGGGTCGACGATGTAACGGCTGCTTCTGCCAATCGAACGCGACCCATTACAGACGATCCGTATTAATAAGCTTGACCAACCCGGGGAAGCCAAGCCGCCTCTAATTCTTCCATTACCTGTGACGGGAAATTTGCTTTCCGGCAACATGAATCTGCGAGTGTTCACGAGGCACTGTGGATAATTGCAGCCCGGTTTCCCGGTTCTCGGTCCTCCTCGAGCGGCCTCCTCGAACCGTCGCTGGTGCGCATTGTCGACGTCGTCGACGTCGTCGTCGTGGTCGTCGTGGTCGTCGTGGTAGTCGTGGTAGTCGTGGTCGTCGTGGTCGTTGCGGTCGACGTGTTGCCTCGTGGCACGTTCTATCCGCGAAAATCGGGGCACAACATTGCGGCACAGCGTAACTCGGTGAAACTCGGTGAAAAGCGAGATGCAGCGACGCCGGGAAGACTGAATGCGTGAACGGAGCCATGAAGCAGCGGAGGCGTAACGAAAGGCCAAGAGGAACAAAATAGACAAGAGAAAGAGAGAGAGAGAGAGAGAGAGAGATAGATACAGAGAGAGAGAGAGAGAGAGAGAGAGAGTGAGTGAGCGAGTGAGCGAGCGAGGGAGAGAGGGAGGATATGTACGTGCGTGAGTGAGTGAGTGAGTGAGTGACTAACCGAGTGAGTGAGAGAGCTAGTGAGTGAGAGAGCTAGTGAGTGAGTGAGTAAGGTGCGCGCGTAGAGAGGAGTGCGAAAACGGGAGGAGGAGGCGGTAGTGAGGCAGCGGGTGGGGAAAGTGGAATTTTGGAAAGCCAAGGCGCGTCGTCGTCTTCTCAAAGAAACGGCACCGATGCGACTTGCGAGACGCCAAAATCCACTCACGTGCGCTCTCTCTCTCTCTCTCTCTCTCTCTTTCTCTTGCTTCGCTTGCGCGTGCAGTCACTCGGTTGCTCGTTCGAGCGCGCGGCGATTTATTTTCGACCACACGCAATTGGAAGTTGGAAATATGAGCTTAAAAAGGAAGAAAGCTGGCGGCGGTAACCCGAGCTACCCCGACTGCCTGCGGAAGAGGCCCCTAATAAGGCTTGTCGCGACTTCGTCCGGAAATCCGTCGCGCGAAAAGCGGGCTGTGCGGGTGTAGCGCCCAATTTGGAGGCTTGGAAATACGAGATTGCTCCATATCGGGATACTCTCGATGATGATCACCTCCCGCCAACCTGGGCCACATATATTTAAAACGGCGCCGAGCACGTGCTAGCGCGCGACTATTTTTACGAGCCCCGCGGGCGGAGATGCAGTGGACTCGCATTTTACCGATAAGATTAATAATTGCCGGGCGGATTCACTTAATCGCCGGTCGAATCCCTCATGGCACTCATCGGTCTCGCGACTGTCAATTAAAAAAAAATCAATTTTAATAAATCTACGGGAAATGCAGCGGGTCGCTCGCGCGTGGGTGGCGACGCGCTGCTTATAAGGAATATAATGCGGCCACGCCTCTTTCACTACACACTGACAGTCGTGGAGAACTCTACGCTCTCGTCTTCCTTAGTCGTGGATTTTTCTAAAATTACAACACTTTCCGTGTCATTACCGCTCACCTTACGGATGCAAATGAATTTCGTCACGCTTTTTCCTTCTCTCTCTCTCTCTCTCTCTCTCTCTCTCTCTCTCTTCTTTTATGTCTTTTTTCCATTTGTCCTAAAATATCGCCTTATACATCGTTTATTATTTTAATATGAAATTTTTTTGTAAATCAATCAACCCTCTACATTATATTCATTATTGTACATTTATTTTATTTTAATGATCTCTTCTCTATTAAACATGAATTTACATTTTCAATTAATATCTCGATGGATCCTCTTAGACTTAGGCCAAAATGACAAATCTTGTACATTTTTTGAAACCCAATGTACTAATTTGCATAATTAATTTGAATAATAATTTTAAAAGCATCTCAAAGGCTCGCTGTTGCTGCGAAAGCTATTACGTTCTCCTTGTCATAATTTGTGGAAATGAGAAATTAGTTCGAATTACTTACTCACGTCGATTGCAAAACCTAATACTCGCTATCATTGCTTAAGAACAGCAATCCTGTGCAATATGTAATATTATTTTTCTGATATGGCACTACGAAGGGAAAATAAAATCTAGGAATAAATGCCATGTAGAAAACAGCAGAATTTCAGAAATCTACAATTTATAAAAGAATTTATCATTTAGTGTAGTTTCATTTCTTTGTACTGAAAGTACAATGAAAATCAGTAGAACCAGTCGTTCGTGCATATAACTGAAAACGAAATTCTTTATTATTTAAGTTTATATAGAATAGTATGTAGATAGTCGTATGAAATTGTATCGTTAAGATTGTGCGATTGATAAGTGTTAAATTGGAAACAATTTAACTAATTTAATTAACGTATGTATTAAGTTTTTTCTCACTCCCTTTTTCCAATTATATCTTACCTCATTAATGTTAACGAGATGTGGCACTCTTATGAGCAATTAATATTTCAAACAAAGGTCACGTAATATATTATAATACAATATATATATATATATATATATATATACCATATAGTCACTTATCCAGACCGCTAAGCAAATATTTTGCCTTTCGTATTGAGGGAGCGATGAACGCGCGCGTTTGTCAGTCATAGGGAGCGAGTCGAGGATGTAAAATTGACTTTACGTGTCATTATTAAGAGGCATTACAGATCCGATATGGATTCGCATAATTATCTGTATATTTGTTTACCTTAGGCAGGAATGAGAAAAAAAGAAGTGGGATGACTTCGAGTTTTCTGCCTATTCAAATTTTCATTTTCATTCGAATGGGAATTATTTATTTTATCGGCAGAAAATTTTAATGTAATCCATTAAATTGAGCAATACGCGCGCGTACCCATAGCAACGCAAAACAGGTCTGATTATAAAGTTTATAACGTCATTTGCCAAAGAAAGGCACGGACAGCTTCCTGCCGTTTACCAAACGGGAAGATAATTAATACACTCTCGCGTGCTCATGGTAATACGCTCCAGAATCAAGAAACCGTGAAAGAGAAAGAGAAGTCCGAGAAATCGAATGTCTTGCTCGAAAGCAACTTGGCGAGTTCGAGAGTTAAACATAGGCCAATAGCTTCGCCTACGCGTAGCCTATTCAAAATTTTTGACAAAAACGCGCCCTGATGATCGTTCCGGATAGCATCGAAGCACTTTACGTACGACGCCACGTCAAGCGTCAATCATCAATTCACCGATGAAATATTCAATTGTGACTCGAGTGTGCGGCTCGAGTACGCTACCTCATACCTCAATGGCAACATATGGGAGCATCTGGAGCCTCGAATCCTTATCTCGAATCGACCAGGTATTTTGAAATTATCCAAAGAGACTTGAATCCCGATCTAGGAATTCCCAAATCCATTTGCCATTTCAAATCTTGCCTATTGCATCGCGCTTTATGGCGTTTTAATAATAAAAAGCATTAGTTCCGTAAGTGCGAGGTATCTTAGTCGTAATTTTATTACATAACTCGGGGAGTGATGAGTTTGCTCACGGCAATAAAGACAAAAAAAAAATAACAAAAAAGAATTCGTTATTTCTATGTTGGATCCTGAAAGCTTGTTTGGAGCCGCCACTTTTATAATCCCGCTACGACCTGCCTTTTTCAACTTATTTTTCACTCCTTTTTCTCACTTACACGCTGCTTATTTCTGCCGTTGTTCTTTTTTTTCTCATTCGTTTCTCTCTCTCTCTCTCTCTCTCTCTCTCTCTCTCTCTCTCTCTCTCTCTCTCTCACGACGACGATTGCAATACAATAAGAGAGCGATAAAACTTGTCCGCAAATGAGAATGCGAGCCGTAAATTTAGAATTAGAGTAGCGTGACGTCATCCGATGCAAAAAAAAAAAAAAAAAAAAAAAAAAAAAAAAAAAAAAAAAATAAAATAAAATAAAAAATGAAAAAAAAAGGAACAGAGAAAGAAAAGAGAAAGAAAGAAATGGGACCGCTCATTTGATTGACACATAAAATCGGCATCGAGTGGTGGCAGTCGACGGTAAACGTAAAGCACTTCCTCCATGTCCTTCGTTCGCATGTTCGGTTTCGCATTTTTTGCACCGGGCATATTTATGGAATAGAACTAGTTTGCTTAAGAAAGAGGTGAGGAGGAGAAGAGGAACGTGGAGAGGAGAAAAAAGATGACTAGGAGCGCAGTAATGTACGTTTTACGAGCTTTCACAAGTCGCCTTTGCTGGCCGCGCAGAGCGTTTACGTCATTTTTGCATTCGCCTAGAATTTCCGTGGGGAGTAAAAATTTGAAAATTTATCGCGCCCCCATTGGTCCGCCCGTCGGTTTAACAAGCCCGGCTGAACACTTAGCCCACCACTTTTCGTATTCTTGTAGCTGTCTAGCATGAAGCGACCGCTACTCGCATCGTCAATCTAATTTCCACGTCCTTACGATTGCTACACCGACTCACCACGGTCTTATCTAGCTCCGCGCCGCCGCCCTCTTTCCTCGCTCATTTCCTTAATACATTCCGTTTTATTTTCTTTTTTCTTTCACAGCAATTTCTACAAGCTGGCTAGGCTTTATATGCCCTTTACATTTTATGAAATCCTTATTAGGTTTTGGCTCGTTAATGTTAAGCTACGTGCATTTGTTATTATCGTATATCTTATCGAGGGATCGAGTCGCCGAGCCTGATAAGGTGTACATTTAGTTTGCAAGGACTATCGGCAGCAGCCCAACGCCACGCTATCGAATGGGGGGGGGGGGGGCAAACGCCTCGATTCTGTTATACCAAAGAAATAATCTTAAATGCGTATTTCAGAGCGCTAAAATGAATACGATTGGCAGTAGCGAATATCCGAAGCTTGGCGCTTGAAATCGCGGGCGAACCGATCGAGCCGAACGTTCAGGGAATTTTGAATTTTTCGCCCTCCACAATCCCGAGCTAAGGATGTCGATTAATACATCTCGTAAATAAGTCACTAGTTTGTTCTCCTTATTGCACTTGAGCACGAATGCCCAAGGCACGGCCGAGTCAGCAAGTGCAAAAAGAAAAGCAGAGGGATAAAGTACTAAAGGAACGAGAGGATAAAGCAATGTGGCGGCTAGGGAGGGCGTAAGCTAAGTCGGGGGAGACTCCCGGCGACGATTAAGAGCGCCTAGATAGATTATCGTCGCGCAGGCGACGATTGGCAGTCAAGCTCCAGGTGACTTCTCCCCCCGGGCCCCTGTTGCCTCAATCTCCACCCACTTTACCCCCCTTTTATCGGCCGGACTCCTTTCTAACCCGTCGCCACTCCTCC